CCCAATCATAAATAGAAAGCAAAGTGAGAACATAATGTACTAGATTTCCCAACTTTTTTTCAAATTTCAGATTACTTTTTCATGGTAACTGGCACTCTATAAGAAAACATACGATGAACTAAACAATTTCCTAGTTTCAATTTACCGAAAAGCATGGACCAAACAAACAAAATGTGCTCAACAAAATTCCTCGAGCTTAAATTAATACAATATCAATCAATGTTGCCGCAAATAGTTTTCAATCTCTCTCCCGATTCAAATACAAGCATGAAGAACTGGTTCAAATATCAATATTCCAGACACAAATCAATCATCAAATATAACTATTTACTCCAGTGGTTTATTGTACACATGACCAGTTAAAGGGGCTGTGTTCTCTGGGTTAACAATTCTGTGTGCTGATTACCTCAGTCTAGAGTCTCGCCAAGGTATTTCCCTGGTAAATAAATCGATACAAGAGAATTATAACGATGAAAAAAAAAATGATCACAGAACATATTTAATAAGAATGAACTTCTGAAATTGAGATTGCCATAACAAACCTCTTATACCAAAATATTTATCCTGCACAAGAATTGAAAACCCTTGGTATACTTGTGTACAAGTTATTCTTCTTCAGGTTGCTGAAATTCAAGATCTAATTTCCTCTTCAGATGTGACCTATCAGCACTGCAGTAGAGAGAAGGTACCAATAATTATGTTTATGCATATGATCTCCAAGTGTATAATTAAATTCATTTAAATTAACTGTGTTTCCTACAAAACAATCTGGCCCTAAGCCTTCTCCAGTAAAAATCATCCCTTCACCCATACCACACAAATAATAATAATAATAATAATAATAATAATAATAATAATAATAATAATAAATAAATAAATAAATAAATAAAAAGATATCAGAAAATGAAGAATGAGAAATACTAATATCACCATATTTATCTACCAGTAAAGCATAAAACAATTCCGTTCAAAAGACCACATACTAGACAATATAGCGTCATGGTCCAGCCTCAACTTGATGTTCAAGATTACAAGTACCTCACATATATCAGTACGTTATCCTCAAAAAAAA